GGGTCCAGCATTTGCCATGGACAGGATGCCAGGACCTGTGTGCTTCAGGATGAAGTTCTCATCATCGAACTTCTCCCCATAGATGGACTTGCCACCAGTACCATTATGGCATGTGAAGTCTCCACCCTGGCACATAAACCCAGGAATGATTCTGTGAAAGCAGGAACCCTTGTAACCAAATCCTTTCTCCTCAGTACTCAGAGCACGGAAGTTTTCTGCTGTCTTTGGGACTTTATCTGCAAAGGGCTCGAAGGAAACAGGACCTAAAGTTTCGCCATCAGCGGTGATGTCGAAGTACACGACGGGATTGACCATGGCTGGGGCAAGCGTAACAAACAACTATACTGCTGAGGCAACGGCGTCTGCAAAGCAAGACTTTTATTTTAAGGATTATCTTCCCTCTGTAACTTGATTTGTGTCATCGTTAGACTCTCTAATTGGAATACTATTGCTTTTTATTGTTGACTCATGTACTTTTGACTTGTTAGGCTGCAGCAGTTCCATGATTCATCTTCAAGGAAATGCACGTGTCTCCCTAAGCACAATTGATAACAGTGCATCTAAATTCCAAAATCAATCTCCATAATAGTCTGTGTTTCCTATTGCCAAAGGGCCCTTCAGAGTAGTGAGAGATCTTCACACTGAAACCTACAGCGTCCCTTTTCAGCAGGAAGTAGCTAAGAGAACACGCCATCCCCTTTTCCTTATGAATCAGGGTGAAATCTCTCTCAGGGAGGAGTGACAGGGAATGGCAAAGGACACATGGACAAAGGAGATTAATCAGAACTAGTTTGGGTGGGGAATACGGCAACATGACAATGGAAGCTGATCCTCAAGGAATGCTGCTTTATTGGAAGTATTTTTGTGAAATTATTTTGCTTTCTTGGTTATAGTTGTTTGATTATGTATAAAGGATTAAGAGACAAGGAAAAATGAATCCTGAAGAAAAGAAATTATGCTTATCTTGATGATCTCAAAATTATGATTGAAACAAAAGAGGGGGAAATGAGGGAAGCTGAATATCAAATTTACTAATAGTAGACCAAATACTGTATCAGGAAATGAGGGAGGCTTAATACAAGCTGAAGGTCACCTTGTGGCACTAAGGTGTTCCCTAAGAGAGAACATTGTTCTTAGTTTGTATCAACTGAATCCCTCCCTCCTGAGATTAGCATAAAGAGGAACTTGGCCTTATCTGTAAAACACTTCACTATTATCCTTTGTTTTTGCTTTGTACTTCCTTTTGATTTTACTTTGTTTACCTTCCTTATGATTCTAAATAAATAGTCAGAGAAGCAAAAAAAAAGAGAGAGAGAGAGAGACAAATTGCATTGGGAAAGTCAGCTGTCAGGGACCTCTCCAGAGTATTGAAGAGCAATGACATCACACTAGAGACTAAGGTGCTCCTGATCCAGGCTATTGTCTTCTCAATTGCTTGCTATGTGTTGGAGAGCTGCACAGTGACGAGGGGTGATAAAAGAATTGATGCATTTGAGCTGTGGTGTTGGGAAAAAGTGTTGACTGTAAGTGGACTGCTAGGAGAACAAACAGGTTTGACCTGGAGAGGGTGAAACTGGGCTGCTGCTTGCAGGGAAGGATTCTAAAGCTTTGCCTGTTGTGAGGAGGGACCAGTCCTTAGAGAGGAACAGCATGCTTGGGAAGGTGGAGGAACAGTGTAAGAGAGGAAGACCCTCTATGAGATGGATCGATTGAGTGATTGGGGAAATGGAGGTAGGTGTGTTGGAGACAATGAGGTTGGCACAGGACAGAGCAGGGTTTAGGGCTGTTGTATACAGGGTTGCTATGAGTCACAAGCACCTCGACAGCACATAACACAACATCTGAAATCCATTTCTGTTTTTTCTTTGTCTTCTGTCTTTGTAATGATGTTTTGCTTTCTTCATGGATGATATCCTTTCTATCATCCCATATTCTTCTGGTCTTTGATCACTGGTGTTCAATGCTTCAAATCTATTCTTAAGATCTTCTCTGAACATGTTGCTAGGAGAGGTTAGTCCGTGGAGAAAGACATTATGCTTAGAAAGATCAACCAGGTGGGGTTTAAATGGTGATTGCAGTAATGTGCTTGGTTGCATCAGAGATTGTGAGGATGGTATGGGAGAGGACAGGATTCAGATCTATTGTTTGCTGGGTGCTACAAGCAATACTCAAGTCAATGGCACCTAACAACAATCAATAAAGCCCAGTGTATCTGTCCCATTGTTCTTCTGACTATAGAAAGTCTATGGGCCATAATTGTTTGAATAATTTCCTGATAACAGCTTGACTTCTTCATTATCAAAAGGAAAATGCTCACCAAAGCAATTCTAACAAAACAACAAATCTGTTTTCAACTGAAAATTGCAGTGACATTCTTACTCTAAAGACTTTTGAGAATCTCTGTAAGTCTGAGTGTTAGAAAGCTCCAAAAGAGGAAACCACAGCATTCAGCATTTCATGAGATCATGTATTTGCACATTGTAGCAAAGAGGAACATTTTTATTGACATTTGGTAATGAAAAATACAGATAAATCAGATTTTGCTGGTAAACATAAATGTATGAAACAAAATTTATTGTAATAAGTTTCTCTAGTTTAAACCTCTGGTAGAAGTCCTTAACTGATCCAGTTTTGCTTCTTATTTTCTAAGTATCTCTTCCTTCACAGAGAGAAATAGATATACAAAACTACTTTAATATATGTGATTATATTCTGTGGTGGAAATAGGGAGTTAATACTTAAGTATAATGACATCCTTTTTCAATAAATTTTTTCTTTTAATTGTGATTTTAATGCAAGTTTACAGAAAAGGTAGATTTTCACTCATTCATTGTGGCACATTTTATCCACTCTTTCTTCTCTCCTTCCTTCTATCCCAGTTCACTTTTTAAAAATATTAATTCATTATTTCACAGTTACTTTCCCCATCCCCATCCTCTTTGTAATGTACCTCTTATTCTGGGCTACTGTCATATATATATAGTATCGAAGCATATGTTCATAATAGCTTGCCTCCAGAAATCCTATGAACCTGGAGAGAGGATGAAGGGCACCCAAGCGTCGAGGACTCTCCTTCATAGGGTTGCTATGAGTCGCCTGCGACTTGACAGCACTTCACAACAACAACAATCATATGTTCCTCTTTTTTCATCTGTTCCAATGCAGTGTTCATTATTTATCCCCTCATTTCTTAATTTCTACCAACCCCCATGTCAGTCCCATTTTAAAACAGTCGTGTTATGCAGTGTTATGTCCTTTTGCAACTGAGATATTTTACTTAGCATAATGTCCTCAAGGGTCTCCCATATTGTGTAATATTTTATGAGTTTCTTGTTTTTCAGTGCTGCGTATTATTCCATTGTTTGAATATATACCATAATTTTTCTATCCATTCATTTGTTGAACATGTACAAGGATGCAAGGTGGGGAGGGAAGCAGAAGGGTAAGGATGGGCAAGGAGATTTGTTAATCATAGAGTCACACAATTTGTGAAGGGGAGGTGAAGGAAATAGGAAAGACCAGGTGTGAAAAACAATGTATTCAAGCTTTGTAAATAAACCAGTATAAAATAAAATAAAGACATGGTACTTCTTCAGTCTTCCCTATTCATTGTCCAACTTTGAAATACAAATGTTGTTGTGGTTAGATGCCATCTAGTCAACTCCTACTCAAGAACTCCTGTTCTTTCACAGCAGAACCATAAATTGATGATGTTATGCCATTCTCACACTTTCTGCTATGCTGACGTTCATTGTTGCGTCTAATGTTTGAATCTATTTCAGTGAAGACTTCTTTTTCACTGGCCCTCTACTTTACCCAGCATGATGTACTTCTCAAGGCAATGACTCCTCCTGATAACACACCTAAAATATGTAAGATAAAGTCTCATATTCTAAGGAATATCTTTCTGTACCTTTTCAAAGTCATTTTTCTTTGATCCTTGGAATTTTATGGTATGTTCAATATTCTTCAAAAACAATTCTAAAGCTTCAGTTCTGCTTTCTCTTCCATATTCACTGTCCAGTCTTCACACAATTATTTGACAATGAAAATACTTTGTCTTGGGATAAGGACAACCTAGTCCTCAAAGTGATGTATTTGTTCTTGGTTATTGTTGTTGTGGTGGTGGTGGTGGTGGTGTACCATCAAGTCTGAACCAACCCAAAATTAATCGTCTGGTGAGTTTTCAGAAGCTGTTAACCACGCAGTAGGAGACTGATCGTCTTTCTTCTGCAGAGAAGCTGAAGGACTCTATAATCACATGCCTTCACGATTGCAAAACAGATTCTTGCCACGAGGTACTTCTTAACAGTCCTTTACAGCAGGTCTGTCCATTGCAAAGCATCACCTGATTTCTTGACTGTTGCTTCTGAGAATATTAATTGTAGCTACAAATAAAATTCATTCTTTGGCAACTTCACTCCTTTCTCCATTTATCATGATGGTGTTTCTATTGGTCCAGTAGTGAGGATCCTTGTTTTCTTTTTGTTGAATTATAATCTACATTGAAGGATATAATCTTGAACCTTTATCAAGAGATGCTACAAGTTTTAGTTTTCTGCAAGCAAGTTTATATCATCTGTATATCACAGGATGCCAATGAGTCATCCTTCAAGCATTATGGCATATTCTTCTTCCTATAGCACAGCTTCTTGAATTATTTGCTCAGTATAAGAGACTCAGTAAAGCCACTGCTATCAAGTCAAAGTTTTAAAAATTTATTTTTTTAAAGGGAAGCCACTGACTGGGAAAAAGTATTCGGTAATAACATATCAGATAAGGGGCTTATATCCAGAATTTATTAAATACTTGAGCACCACAACAAGATAAAGGTAAA